CCCACGGCGACGCCCACACACTTCAGTTATATATTTGGCGACCTATTTATACGCCACTTGACGCTTTGGCGCGAATAACAAGGTAGCGTTACGAAGCCCTTTTTTCAATATCATGCAATTTATAATCTTCCACTGCAGCATAAAAGTGATATTTAAATAGTATTTTATGAAATATTCCTTCAGTTTTTTTTATTTGATTTTAGAAATAGTGGTAACGGTCTCGGAATGTCAGTATGGCCTATCTGGGGTGTGGCGATTGGTCACTTGGATTATTATTCTCAAATGCTGAAGGAACTCAAAAAAAAGGAATATAAAAAGCTTACGTGATACAGTCATTGTATTCAAGGTTCAAACACCTCAAAGGAGCCGAGGCTGAGCGGACAGAACGCTGGACGCGTAATCCTGTGGTCCCGGGTTCGATCCCGGGCTCCGGCGAGAAACAATGGGCAGAGTTTCTTTCACCCTGATGCTCCTGTTACCTAGCAGTAAATAGGTACATAGGAGTTAGTCAGCTGTCACGGCCTGCTTCCTGGGGGTGGAGGCCTGGTCGAGGACCGGGCCGCGGGGACACTAAAGCCCCGAAATCATCTCAAGATAACAAGATAACCTCTTCCAGCTCCTCAGAGTTTGGGGGGGGGAGGGAGGGTGTCCATTGATACGGTAGGAAGTCCCCTCTCTGGATCACGACACCGAGGCTTTGCAACAGGAAACTGGCTGCTCTTGGGTCTCTTGTTTGCCAAATAAGTTCTCCCCCTCCCACTCCTCCAGAAACTTTATAGTGCATATTGGCCCCCATGCAGGACTCAGGGTCTCTGACCCTGTTGGCACAAACCTGTAAGAATGTCTTGGGCAATGGTACTTACTGAGTCGTCCTGAAGGGAACCTTCCTAAGATCTCACGGCATTTAGCCAATGCATGTTCCTGAAGCTCCTATGGTCAGCATAGTTGGTCCACAGCCGGATTGATGTTTGCTCAGGACGGAAACGTTTGGGCATAGTTCCTTTCACCCGAGGCCCTCTCTTCACCCTCTCAGACAACCAGTATACCATTCCTCCAATGTTACACGGTAGTTCAATCTGGACGATTCGGTCTGCCATCAGGACATTTGAGATTGTGCAGGCGAGGAGTCACAGTAACGTGGCTGAAAATGTTGACCAAACCACACACTAGAAAGTGAAGGGACGACGATGTTTCGGTCCGTCCTGGACCATTCTCAAGTCGATTGTGTGACGTGACTTGACTTCAAACAATCGACTTGAGAATGGTCCAGGACGGACCGAAACGTCGTCGTTCCTTCACTTTCTAGTGTGTGGTTTGGTTTAACATTTGAGATTCTGTTGTGACAGTGTGACTGTATGTGTATTCCGATGCATTGCCGAGGTCACATAACCAGTGCTTAGGGGAGGTTAGGATGGCAAGACGACGGGCAACACGAATAATAATAGGGATCCTATGTCCAGACCTGCTTCCAGGGAAAAAAAAGTAAAGATAGCTAATAGAAAATCCCCAGCATGACGGGCTTCCACGGCGAGGAGGCATGTTTTATTTTTCGTACAAAGATGTGTATATATATACTGCAAAGCTTTGGAGAAGAAAATAAAGAGACTTCAAAAGAAAAATTCTTGCATGTTTGAATTAGTGTATGTTTTTCTTACGACCCCATTTTAATGAAATTGGATGAGTTGCATTACATGTTACATGCAAATAACATACATATGTGCCATATATATCAATTTTGAATTCTGCGGTGATGATTGTTTTCAAGGTCAAAGCTGCAGCACCAGAACACTCCTCCATGGACACAGTTCAAGCTGTCAAGCCAGTAACACTGACGAAGGTCACACTACTAATTGACGTATGTCAAAGTCACAGGTCAAAGCCAGCTGTCAAGTTGACGGATCAATAACCCCAAATTAGAATTTACAAATGATTTTATCGCAATTGTCGACGATTCCCTTGCCTCTTGTTCACAAAACGAGACATGGACAAAGTAGCTGTTTACTGACGTTGGAAATTAGACTTTCCAGATAAGGAAAGTTTGTAAGCTTAATATATATAATTTAATTGTTCACAGCTGTAGAAAGACAAACACTTAGCGGATGGCACCAGGCGGCCACAAGCACTCACAGCTGTTAGCGGCCACGAGTCTTTCTTGTCAGCAAATAACGCGAACATTCCTTCTAGACTTGAGGTAACGGTGGGTGTGTGGAGGTGTGGAGGCTTGGTGGGGGAGGTGTGGAGGCTTGGTGGGGGAGGTGTGGAGGCTTGGTGGGGGAGGTGTGGAGGCTTGGTGGGGGAGGTGTGGAGGCTTGGTGGGGAAGGTGTGGAGGCTTGGTGGGGGAGGTGTGGAGGCTTGGTGGGGGAGGTGTGGAGGCTTGGTGGGGGAGGTGTGGAGGCTTGGTGGGGGAGGTGTGGAGGCTTGGTGGGGGAGGTGTGGGGGCTTGGTGGGGGAGGTGTGGAGGCTTGGTGGGGGAGGTGTGGAGGCTTGGTGGGGGAGGTGTGGAGGCTTGGTGGGGAAGGTGTGGAGGCTTGGTGGGGGAGGTGTGGAGGCTTGGTGTGTGGAGACTTGGTGGGGGAGGTGTGGAGGCTTGGTGGGGGAGGTGTGGAGGCTTGGTGGGGGAGGTGTGGAGGCTTGGTGGGGGAGGTGTGGGGGCTTGGTGGGGGAGGTGTGGAGGCTTGGTGGGGGAGGTGTGGAGGCTTGGTGGGGGAGGTGTGGAGGCTTGGTGGTGGAGGTGTGGGGGCTTGGTGGGGGAGGTGTGGAGGCTTGGTGGGGGAGGTGTGGAGGCTTGGTGGGGGAGGTGTGGAGGCTTGGTGTGTGGAGACTTGGTGGGGGAGGTGTGGAGGCTTGGTGGTGTGTGGAGGCTTGGTGGGGGAGGTGTGGAGGCTTGGTGGGGGAAGTGTGGAGGCTTGGTGGGGCAGGTGTGGAGGCTTGGTGGGGGAGGTGTGGAGGCTTGGTGGGGGAGGTGTGGAGGCTTGGTGGGGGAGGTGTGGAGGCTTGGTGGGGGAGGTGTGGAGGCTTGGTGGGGCAGGTGTGGAGGCTTGGTGGGGGAGGTGTGGAGGCTTGGTGGGGGAGGTGTGGAGGCTTGGTGGGGGAGGTGTGGAGGCTTGGTGGGGGAGGTGTGGAGGCTTGGTGGGGGAGGTGTGGAGGCTTGGTGGGGCAGGTGTGGAGGCTTGGTGGGGGAGGTGTGGAGGCTTGGTGGGGCAGGTGTGGAGGCTTGGTGGGGAGGTGTGGGAGGCTTGGTGGGGGAAGTGTGGAGGCTTGGTGGGGGAGGTGTGGAGGCTTGGTGGGGGAGGTGTGGAGGCTTGGTGGGGGAGGTGTGGAGGCTTGGTGGGGGAGGTGTGGGGGCTTGGTGGGGGAGGTGTGGGGGCTTGGTGGTGGAGGCGTGGAGGAGTCGTGAAGGAGAGAAGATCACGGTGGAGTGAGAAAGAGTGGAAAGGAGGTGAGAAAGGGTGGAGAGTTGGAGTAGGTAATGGTTACATCCCCCACACCGGGCACCCTGCAAAGTTGGGTGAGGCTGTGTCTCACCTCCTATTATGGACACATAAAGAAACTGACCCAGAAAGATCGTGCCATCAAGGGCTGGACACTGCCCTGACTGGAAATGTATCAAGACACACGTCTTGGCACATTTTCTCCTCACCAACTTCATCAGATTCATGATGAGCAGATGATAACCCTCAGTGAACTCGGCTCGGCGGTGGCATAGGGGCTGAACCTCTTCAAAGGGGGGCATAAACCACTGTGCAAGGCATGTGCTATTCCGTTATGTGAAGGGATGGAAACTCCACGAAAGAAAGAGCTTCCTGCTTAGTTAGGACAGTTTTGAACTTCACCACCAAAGATGTTTCGCTAAGCTGCAGTTTCGAGTTTCATTTCAGGGGGTTTTGCGGAGCCACAGGCCAGTGGGGGGCTCATTACTACAGAGGTACAGATGAACTGTAGACCTGGGAACTATCACCACAGATAGTGACCCCACTAGAGGAAATGACAGAGGTACACCAACATTATAGTGTATTGAGGGGCTGATGACTGAACACCAACATTATAGTGTATGACAGATGACTGAACACCAACAGTTATTGAGGGGCAGAGACTGTATAGTGATTGGGGCTGATGACTGAACACCAACATTATAGTGTATTGAGGGGCTGATGACTGAACACCAACATTATAGTGTATTGAGGGGCTGATGACTGAGCACCAACATTATAGTGTATTGAGGGGCTGATGACTGAGCACCAACATTATAGTGTATTGAGGGGCCGATGACTGAGCACCAACATTATAGTGTATTGAGGGGCCGATGACTGAGCACCAACATTATAGTGTATTGAGGGGCTGATGACTGAGCACCAACATTATAGTGATGACTGATACTGAGCACCAACATTATAGTGTATTGAGGGGCCGATGACTGAGCACCAACATTATAGTGTATTGAGGGGCTGATGACTGAGCACCAACATTAGTGCCGAGTGCCTGCTACTCTAGCTGAGCTGCCTTACCTCTCCTCACCTCACCGACCCATCACACACACACACACACACACACACACACACACACACACACACACACACACACACACACACACACACACACACACACACACACACACACTGACCACGGAGCCAGAGCTCAACCCCCGCAAGCACAACAACTAGGTGAGTACACCCTTGCACCGTGGCGGCTACACCAGCACTAATCATATTGTATGAAAGTGAGACGTTTCTACACGACGGTGAGGAATGTGACCAGCTGAACCCAGCCGTTCTCTTGACAGGAGACAGTAGACAATATACACTATTCTCATCTATGCCGCAAGGTAAAACAAAAGAGTTTTGCAACACGTGTAATGGAAACCAATTCTCGCTACCACAACTACAGTTAAAACTGCATTTACGCACTCAGATTCGGAATGGCACACAGCAGACAATTCTAGATAACAAAACATATATGTACTGCTAGACTGACGGAGGGAGATAGCAAGATAATATACAAGATGACCTACATCTTGTATATTATCTTGCAAGATAATATACAAGATAATATACAAGATTGGCTCAACAAGTGGCCAGTAGAGTTTAAACAAACTATGTGCAAAGTAACGAAATCTTGGAGGATGAAAGAAGAAAATCTTGGAGGATGTGTGGGGGGGGGGGATATAACACTGAATATATCTGAACTTGGCACATATAACACTGAATATATCTGAACTTGGCACATATAACACTGAATCTGCTTCCCATCAGGACAGTGCTGTGCGGCTTAGGCTAGGTTGGTCAATATATTAACTTCCTTTAACATATTTGAGTGAGGAATTATTCAGGTCGTTATATACAAACCTATGCCAGACCAGTCCTTTAATATGCAGTGCCAAGGTCAACTCAGGACTCATTAAGTAGTTTCATGACCTCTTACGAAACCTGTACATCTCTCTTCGATCATGGCGGCATAGTCTGTTTATTAAAAACAATTATAAATTGGGTGTCGGTAGTGGTGGAGTGGGTGGGGGGGGGGGGAATGGGTGTTGGTAGTGGAGGAGTGGGTTGTGGTGGTTGTGGTGGAGAAGGGTGGTTGGTAGTGGAGAAGTAGGTGGTGGGTGAGTGTTGTGAAGGTGGTGGAGGTGGTAGTGGGTGGTGGGGGTGGACTGTTAGCCAAGGATATTCGTGCGTGGGCCCAAAACCTGTGTCTGGGCCGCTTAGTTAATGTTTCTAATATCTCTCCTAGACGGTGGATGAGTATTTACGACTCGTATATTCGCTACCTTACCTTGAGGTTACTTTGAGATGATTTCGGGGCTTAGCGTCCCCGCGGCCCGGTCGTCGACCAGGCCTCCTACCGTAAGATTGTCCGCAATGTGTTTAGCAACTTCATTTTTGCGCTACTAACTCTGCTGAAATCTTATTCGGTTTGTAACTGTGCGCTGTTAGGTAATATTACCTCCTGCACCAGAGCCTTTTGGGGCGTAGGGCTATGTAATTCTCCTTATAATTACCTTCCCCTTCAAATTTTGTTGCAAACCTCTGTTCTTGTTCTATTTAAGTTTTAAGGTTCCACATGATGCGGATTCCAGGCCGGTGCTGCATATCCCAGTATTGGTCTAACGTAGGTTGCATAGATTGTGGTCTTGAAGTGAGGTGAGGGGGAGAGGGGGGGGGGGGGTGAGGTGGTGAAGCGGGATATCGACCTTGAACCTGAACCATCTGTTGACAGTGATACTTGGTTCTTCCAACCTCACCTTCTTCTTTCTTCTTTCTTCTTTCTTTTTCTTTCTTCTTTCTTCTTTCTTCTCCGTTACTTCCTTTTCCCACCTAAAATCACGCACGCACGCCTGGTAGCCTGGTGAACAGCGCGCAGGACTCGTAATTCTGTGGCGCGGGCTCGATTCCCGCACCAGGCAGAAACAAATGGGCAAAGTTTCTTTCACCCTGAATGCCCCTGTTACCTAGCAGTAAATTGGTACCTTGAAGTTAGTCAGCTGTCACGGGCTGCTTCCTAAGGTGTGTGTGTGTGCGTGTGTGGTGTGAAAAAAAAGGTAGTTAGTAAACAGTTGATTGACAGTTGAGAAGCGGGCCGAAAGAGCAAAGCTCAACCCCCGCAAGCACAACTAGGTAGGTGAATACACACACACACACACACACACACACACACACACACACACACACACACACGGGTGGTACGCGAACACAGGTGGAAACTGAGTACCCAAATGAGCCACAGGGACATTAGAAAAGAACTGTTTCAGTGTCAGAGTAGTTAACAGATGAAATGCATTAGGCAGTGATGTGGTGGAGGCTGACTCCATACACAGTTTCAAATGTAGATATGATAGAGCCCAGTAGGCCCAGGAACCTGTACACCAGTTGAGAGGCGGGACCAAAGAGCCAGAGCTCAACCCCTGCAACCCTTATTGCTGAATGTACTCCACAGTTGTCTATTCACTTGATCAAGTTATTTATCTAAAGCCATTCTCTTAGTTTGGAAAATAAGACAACATTAGTTTTACTGATAAAATCTTTGGAGCCGAATGGGGTGGAATCGAACCCGTGTTGCGTATGACACTCCGCGCTCGTGCCTATTACACCACCCTATTTCTTAGATATTCTCGTAGCTATGTAACCCCCTATTTTGATGCCCCTATATCCTTGTTGTACAAGGATGCTGTTGTGGCGAGCAAATGTCACTAACGTCCTATAACTGATGTGTATGTTTTATTTATGCTTGTTTAAGACACTTGTGGTGTTATAATTAGGATGTTGTTGTTGCAGGAATGGGCGGCTGTGGGTGTGGTGCGGGCGGCGGCGTGGCGACGGTGGGCGTGGGCGGGGTGTGTCAGTGCCAATGTCCACCCTCTACGCCCACATTCAGGGACGACTCCGCCCACTGCGTCTCGACGCTCGACGGTGAGTACAGGGGGTCGTACGGCAGGTCGTGCACCGGTACACATTTGCTACACATGCTACACACAGGTGCACCGGTACACACAGGTGCACCGGTACACACACACAGGTGCACCATTTGTGTACCAGGAGCAATCCAGGCATCAGAGGCTTGGTAATCCGTCATATATCAGGACAAGTTATAGTTCAGTACCTCGGCCAACTTTGACGCAACTCCAGCGCCGCAAAAGAGCGTGCCGGGTCCTCGAAGGGTACTCCTGGAAGGAGGCTTCAGTCCGAAGGGTATCCCTGGAAGGAGGCTTCAGTCCGAAGGGTATCCCCTGGAAGGAGGCTTCAGTCCGAAGGGTATCCCCTGGAAGGAGGCTTCAGTCCGAAGGGTACCCCCTGGAAGGAGGCTTCAGTCCGAAGGGTATCCCCTGGAAGGAGGCTTCAGTCCGAAGGGTATCCCCTGGAAGGAGGCTTCAGTCCGAAGGGTACTCCTGGAAGGAGGCTTCAGTCCTGAGGGTATCCCCTACAAGGCTTCAGTCCGAAGGGTATCCTCTGGAAGGAGGTTTCAGTCCGAAGGGTATCCCCTGGAAGGAGGCTTCAGTCCGGAGGGTATCCCCCTAGAAGGAGGCTTCAGTCCAAAGGGTATCCCCTAGAAGGAGGCTTCAGTCCGAAGGGTATCCCCTGGAAGGAGGCTTCAGTTCGAAGGGTATCCCCTAGAAGGAGACTTCAGTTCGAAGGGTATCCCCTAGAAGGAGGCTTCAGTCCGAAGGGTATCCCCTAGAAGGAGACTTCAGTTCGAAGGGTATCCCCCTAGAAGGAGGCTTCAGTCCGAAGGGTATCCCCTAGAAGGAGACTTCAGTTCGTAGGGTATCCCCTGGAAGGAGGCTTCAGTCTGAAAGGTATCCCCTGGAAGGAGGCTTCAGTCCAGAGGGTATCCCCTGGAAGGAGGCTTCAGTCCGGAGGGTATCCCCTGGAAGGAGGCTTCAGTCTGAAGGGTATCCCCTAGTAGGAGGCTTCAGTTCGAAGGGTACCCCTAGAAAGAGGCTTTAGTCCGAAGGGTATCCCCTGGAAGGTACTCCCGGAAGGAACCACCGGACAAAGAGCCCTTGCAGACGCCAGTGATCCAGACACTATTGGCTCGGCAGAGAGTCAAGAGGGCCGTCTAACAACGCAAGTGAGACCACAACAAAATCGGATAAAGCCATTCCTTCTGTGTTAATCCACTTTGTTATGCATTCCTTTGTTTATCAACCCGTTAACGAAACATTCCGAGCGCTCGGAAAAGCGTTAAAGCCTCTTTTTCCACTCGAGTTGCAAGGTAAATGCACTAATCATTGACGTATTAGCGAATTAAGAATGCATGAAATCTGGCAAACAATGTGTATTGTAGAGGCATGTCTTTTAGCAGTTATAGAATAAACTCGGCTTTGTAAGCCGAAGTTCGAACAGCTTTTCGAACATGTTTTAGTCGTTGAAAGCGCAAGTTCGAACAGCACAACATAGATTTTCAGTTATGGAAACCTTTAAGTTTGTACAGCGTTCCAAACTTGTTTCAGTTATGGAAGCCAATGTTTGTACCAACACTACTGGACTGTCGATCATCCATAGTGCCGATAGTTCAGTAGTGGCACCCCCCCCCCTCCCCTCCTCCCCGTGCCGCTGGCTTGTTCTAGATCAAAATAATTTCTTGTTAAGCGGTCATTGGTCTCCCTCGGCAGGGAGGAGGAGCGCGCCACCATTTAATGACTAACGGGTCGTTAAACTGTATGGATCATTTGTTCCTACTGTGCCGCCAGCAGGAAAGCGCGAAATTGACCGACCTTTAGTGATCGAGAAGAGGGCAGGGCAAGAGGAGGGCAGAGAGGGAAAGCAGAACAGGGAAGGAAACTTGCATAATTCCCTGGACACGAAGGCTCTTTGCTTCATACCCGTACTAACTGCCTGTGACATTAAACGTCACGGATATTATATATATATATATATATATATATATATATATATATATATATATATATATATATATATATATATATATATATATATATATATATATATAGATATATAAGCAACATGGGAGTATATAGCATATATATATATATATATATATATATATATATATATATATATATATATATATATATATATATTGGTAAGATAAAGGGATCTAAACCCTGTTAAAATGAATGGTTCTTATAGTAAGTACATCTCAACACTATAACAAGTACTTATTTCAGTAAGCTAGTAAATTACACCACAATAGGTACTTACAATGAGTAATCTACCATAATTACTTAAGAGTAACGTTCAGTATTGGTCCCTTTTTAAAGCCAAGAGAATAGGTAGGTATAGATAACTTTTTTGTCGCTTCTGCGGTATTTTGCGAACCCACACTGGCATTTGAAATTGAAATTGAAATCAGTTTATTGAGGTAAAATACACACAAAAGGATGAGGTAGCTCAAGCTATTCTCACCCCGTTCAGTACATCGTGTTAATACATACATAGACACACATCACAAGCAAGTATTACCGAACATTCTGAGAGATAAACACATACATTTCCTGCGTTACACAAGTAACACTGACATTGAACACGCTTCATTAACGAAAGCTTCCGCTCGTTTACGAATAAAAGTCTAACCAATCTCATCCTGATTCGGATAAATGCGTTTATCCGAACCATTTGTTGTTGTTGTTTTAGATTTAGCTGCTCAGAAGGCAGTGTCCATGTAGCACGGGCTATGGTGAGCCCGTAAATCCGTCGCCATTTGCTCATCACCTCTTATATATACGTACTTCGACTGCATAGGTGACGAACTCATCACAAGGCATAGTAGGATGGCCCCGGGAGGAATTAGGGGGAAAACCCTAGCCCATTGCTGGGTGATGTTGATGAATATATATGTGGTTAAAATGAACAAATCCACAAGGGCCGTGACGAGGATTCGAACCTGCGTCCGGGAGCATCCGGGTTAGTGTGATCTCTGTGTGTAATATATAAGTGGTACCTGAATGTCTATATTGGCTAGTAATGGTAAAATATTGATGTCTGAATAGCCTTCGATCGCCTGATGTTGGTGTCTCAGAGAGGCTGCAGGATCCTGTAAGTTCAGTAGAACCTTGGTTTCAACTCCTTTTGACCATGTCGTAGCTCAGTCGATTAAGGCAGCGTCTGGAATGCTCTCCGACGCAGGTTCGAATCCTCGGCACGGCCCTTGTGGATTTGTTCATGTTGGTAGAATCTTAAAGAGGTGAGGATTAGGTGAAAATTTATTGACGAGCAAGAGGCTTACCTTGAGGTTAACTTAGGTTACCTTGAGGTTAAGGTGTTTTCGGGACTTAGCGTCCCCGCGGCCCGGTCGTCGACCAGGCCTCTTCTGACAAGGCCTCACAATTCACTTTGTCAGAAGTGAATTGTGAGGAAGTCGACAAAAAATGTGCAGGAGGGGGTTTATAACTGGGAGAAGTGTGTGCTGACCAAAGGGGTGGTAGGTGGTGGGTGGCAGTCGCCCACTGGCCGCCCGGGGTGGGACAGGGCCCACGCCCACCCGCCCCGCCCGCAGCCCCTCCTCACCTACTGGTTTGCACCACACTGCCCAAGCACCTCGTTGCTCGGGAGGTAATAAACTAGCAAATCTATCGTCAGGTTATGAGTTATATATTTCGCTAACAACGTGATCACTCGTGTCAAGGACGCTGACAAAGTGATCAGTTCTATATGACACATTGCGGAACTTTTTGAAAATAAATAATAATAATGTTCATTCCATCCAGCAGTCGACCCCACAGACGCATTCATCAATTTTAACATGTCGTTCGTTCAAAATAGGAATTTTCTCAAATATAAATTAATATTATTATATATTAGTATATTGTGTATATTTAGGCACTGGTTAAGTTAAGTGTTTAGGTTCTGTTGGCGATTATTTGTATTTTTAGTACGTGGGTGAAGCATTTACAACGTTGTGGTTCGAACAAAAGTCATCAGTGAAGCACTTGTTTCGGAAGTGTTCGGACGTCATCAGTTGAGTCGCGTATACAGCCCGTCCTCCAAAGACCGAAAAGTGATTCCATGCACCCGCCAAGCCCCCTATTTATCATTGAAAAAAGTACTCCCGACTGTAGCAAGCGCTCCACCTGCACTCAGACCTAGAGAACTCTAGGCCAGTTAAGCACTGAGTAAGCACTCAGACCAGTTATCAAACCTAGCCTCCAAACCAACCCGGGGCCTCGTAGCCTGGTGGATAGCGCGCAGGACTCGTAATTCTGCGGCGCGGGTTCGATTCCCGCACGAGGCAGAAACAAATGGGCCAAGTTTCTTTCACTCTATGCCCCTGTTACCTAGCAGTAAATAGGTACCTGGGTGTTAGTCAGCTGTCACGGGCTGCTTCCTGGGGGTGGAGGTCTGGTCGAGGACCGGGCCGCGGGGACACTAAAAGCCCAGAAATCATCTCAAGATAACCTCAAGATAACCCCCCATTAAATGAAAGCATGAGAAGTAGCTCTTAAAACCGGGACAATAATGATATAAAGCTCTAGCCATTAAGTCTCGGACAGTATCAGGGATCAGAACATTGACCGCACTGAAGACCCGGGCTGGCCGCAGCCACCGCAGCCGCTGGAGACCTCGAGGGGTAACGAATTATCCTGGTAGAACTATCCCGCCGAAGTAGACCCCGTTGCCACAATTTATGGCCCCCACCAGTCGCCCGGAGCTCCTGTATGCCCGGCCCGCGACGCCCACTGCGCCATTATCGTCAATATGTGAACGCTGACTGTAGTCAATTATATGTGTTGATGCTATAATACACATTAGTATCGCAGTCTGACTTTGGCCATCACGAATCTAAGCAACACGTGCTACATAAAGACTTAAAGACAAGCCATTAGTTCAGACTTGTGCTAATGAGTTGGTAGTAAAAAGTCTTGTGTGTTACGGTCCAAGGCTAAAAGTTAGGTTTTTTTTTGGGTGTTCTTTTATTGCTTAATACTGAGGCTTCTGCTCAGCGTGTCCCGTCCGTCGCCGGCAGCTCTTCGCCATATATTCAGTCCAACAATAATTACACCTTGGGTGTTGGGGAGAGCACAGGAGCAGGTGCTGGGGTGCACCGCAGAACTGCTGGTCAAACCAGTCACTCCCGACGGACTTTGCATTTTCAAAAGATCAAATCTCCAAATATTGATGTCTTGGCTATTACATAAATGTCTTAATTACCATTTTTAGAGGGTTTGAGAAACCAAAGGATACGAATAACTTGAGGTGATGTATTCTCTTAATTATATTCACACTAGAGCTTTGTGGCTCACGGTGAAAATAGCTCGGAATATCTCATGTCAATATTTGAACTTTTAATTACTGTACTGTTGTTAAAATTGTTCGAAGGCGTCCGAGTAGTGCTTAAATCACCCCTCCTCCTCCTCCTCCTCCTCTGGCATCCTTCCTCCCCGCCCCCCGGGGTAGGGTGGCCGTTCTTGGCCCCCACATTGGCCTCTTAGATCAGCCTCACTCATTCCGCTCTTCTTGAGAAGGGCCGCCAAGCTGGAGGCACCCTGGCGCTGCCCTACGGAGGGACAAGGTCCACACAACTCCTTCTGACCGGTCCTTGCCCCTCTGCGCACGCTCCTCCGAGCTCTTGTCTCTGTGTGTATAGCGTCAGGGTAGAGTTACGATATCGCTTATCCGCTGCTACGATAGTTTTAGTGGCCTGGAGGGCCGCGGCGAGTGTGTTCTTCGTGACCAGGGCGCCTGCGTGGGTTATATATATATATATATGTATATATGCAGGAAACCCGCATTTGAAACATTCAAGATTGCTGTGCGCGTGTTCGGCTGAATTCGTCTTCGACAGAGCAAGATGGAGAGTCTCTCTAGCTTGCTCTGATGAAGGCGAATTGAGCCGAAAACGCGTTCAGTATTTTTTTTTTAATTTTATCAGATGTGGTTTTTCCAGCATACTTGGATCAATGTTTGGTACAACATGTGGTGCCACATGTGATGCCATATGTGGTGCCACACGTTAAGAAAGTTAAAGATGACTGCCGCCATCACCAACTGCGACCTGACGCTCAGTATGACAACGAAGAATAAGGAGTGGGAGGGAATACAATTGGATGAACAGGTACAATAAAGGTGATACCAATGAGTTAGTAAAATATCAACCCCAAGTCTGACCACCGTGTGCACAACGGTAGTGCACAGGTGGAGGATGGAGGGGGGTCCTTGACCCCCTGGTTCAGGGTACGCTGGGAGGGGGGGGCAGACAGTTGATATAGATATATCACCTCTATGGCCAAGGCCACTTCACACCCTGACCATTGAAGTGTTTTTCTCCACATAGTTTGGTAATGTGGTGGGTGTTAATTTTTTTATTTTGCCCCGGAGGGCTAGTGTACTGGGCAGCGTCACTCATCCTGTGAGTGAACATACCGCCATAGTGACAGTACTGGGCAGCGTCACTCATCCTGTGAGTGACCACACCGCCATAGTGACAGTACTGGGCAGCGTCACTCATCCTGTGAGTGAACATACCGCCATAGTGACAGTACTGGGCAGCGTCACTCATCCTGTGAGTGAACATATCGCCATAGTGACAGTACTGGGAAGCGTCACTCATCCTGTGAGTGAACATATCGCCATAGTGACAGTACTGGGCAGCGTCACTCATCCTGTGAGTGAACATATCGCCATAGTGACAGTACTGGGCAGCGTCACTCATCCTGTGAGTGAACATATCGCCATAGTGACAGTACTGGGCAGCGTCACTCATCCTGTGAGTGAACATATCGCCATAGTGACAGTACTGGGCAGCGCCACTCATCCTGTGAGTGAACATATCGCCATAGTGACAGTACTGGGCAGCGTCACTCATCCTGTGAGTGACCATACCGCCATAGTAGCATGCATAATACTCCTTAATACGACAAATCTAGTTGTTCATCCTGTTCAGTAAGCTGGCGTTTACCTAACTGTCTGAAAGTAAAGAAACTGCTAATGGCTTGGCTGGGGTACTCCGACTCGTGGAATGGCTGGTACTCTGGGGCCTTTGGTGTGGGGGATTCTAGGAATATATATTTATATATATAATACATATATAACATTCTCGTGCTAATCCATAACTGGTTTTGCAGAGTGCTCCCTGGCGGACTTCGTCAGTAGCTCTGGGTCGGAGAAGATCCCTTATGTGTACATGCCGCTCAAGCACCAGCTCGTCCACCCTACGGCTGAAGTCGCCCTCTTAGGTAAGTGTCTGAGAGAGAGAGAGAGAGAGAGAGAGAGAGAGAGAGAGAGAGAGAGAGAGAGAGAGAGAGAGAGAGAGAGAGAGAGGAAACAGGCGTCACAGAGACAGTAAGTCGAGAAAACATTGCAGCAGCACAATTGCCAAAAAAAGTTATTGAGATGGATGCACTGTTGCAGGTCTGGATCACGGCGGATCTCCCCTCAAGTCGCCTGTGTGTGTGGTGACGAAGGGCGGCCTCCTCACCCACCAGGGCTGGGAGAACATGGCCAACACCTCTACCTTCGAGCCTCCCTTCAGGTATGTTGGGGCTTCTGCAGGTTCCTTGTGCCTTTGGGAGAGATTTCGCGTTCCTTATGGCTGGTAAAGATGTCTTAAAACATTGGTATTTGTATAGGTATTCCTACTGAGTGGGGTCTTGCGGTTTGGTCTTAAGTAACATTTGTATTAAGTATTTTATATTAAGAAGGTAATGCAGGAAAAGTGGGATAACACCAGCTGATAGATATATACAACCCCCTTGACACAGACACATCAACAACTAGGAAAAAGGTACAGGGAGAGAAAAACTAGTAGAAGCATTAGAAAAGAACTTTCTAACGCGGAAATACAAGGATAAAACATAGAGCTGGGTAGGGAAGGGTCGTGCCCATTATCCCTGGATCATTCACATTTCTGTGAATGATCTGTGAATGTGAATGGATCATTCTAAGATAGTGATCAAGGGGTCAAGTTGGTAGGTGCCATCTATTTGTCTGGTGATATCAGAGACCTGAAAGTGGGAACAAATGTCACTATGAGTGAATGTGGTCGACGTGATACCTGGTGGAAAGTCAAGTTATTTAGCAGTCAATGTCTTAAGCTTGTACTGGTGTGAAGTATGTATGAGGAGGAAGGGAGGGGGGTTACTAAAATACTTAAGACGTTTCTTGCCCTCACTGCTATATCCACCAGTCTTCATGACCACACCTACGCTTGAAGAAATAAATCACTGTATTACTTTTATTGTATCATTGTATTACTGGATCACTGTACTACTGTACCACTCTCTCACTTCCATCCGTCTTGGGGCACCATCATCTTTTCGTCCTTCACTTAAGGTGAAGGGGCTATGACAGCTGAGCGGATAGCGTTCGGGATTCGTAGTCATGAGGTTGCAAGGTCGATCCCTGGTGGAGGCGGAAACAAATGGGCGGAGTTTCTTTCACCCCTGATGCCCCCTGCTCACCTACCAGTAAATAGGTACCTGGGAGTTAGACAGCTGCTACCTGCTGCTTCCTGGGGGTGTGTAACAAAAAGGAGGCCTGTTCGAGGACCGGGCCGCGGGGACGCTAAGCCCCCGAAATCATCTCAAGATAACCTCAAGATGACAGAGGAAAGTCTACTTGGAAGGATTCAATTTACATGAGATTAAGAGTAGGATACAAATTTTTCTGGCAATAGGGTGTTGATGTCAATGAAAAAGATAAGGAGTGTAAATTATGTAGTATGCCGCACACACACCTTAGATCATTATGTATTAGAGTATCAGCTTATTGATAACTATATAAATAAGGGAATAAGTAGTGTACCATATCAAATTGTTTGCATGGGTGATAATGATATGATAGAATACTTAGAAGGCTACAAGTAACCCCAAGAGTGTAACACTTATATTCTGTGTTTACTATATTAACCTGCAATGTTAAATGTGATTCTTGTACTGTGATTTGTGGATTTGTACTCACTGGATTTGTGCGCCCCTTGAGGGACTTGAAGTAGAGGGGAAGGGGGGGTAGAAATAGCCTAAGCTACTCTATCCCTTTGAGATGTATTTTATTGTCTCAATAAACGTACTTGAACGTGGGGACCACCACCAGATTGTTTCGAGAGAGCGGGAGGACCTACGTGCAGTGGGTCGGGGAGGCGGCGGCCAGGACGTCGGTGGAGGGCCGCCTGGTGCTGGTCACTCTCATCTGTCGGGACGCTGCCCAGCCCGACACCCCGGTCTTCAGCCCCTGCCTCGCCTTCAGGGTCGCCGGCAGTCCTGGTGAGAAGGAGCCCATGTTAGGTGCACCAACTGGGTGATATCTTGACCTTTCTTTTACTCATTGGCAGCTCACCCCTAATTTTTTTTTTTGCATTATAGTGTTTTGCTGGGGCTTTTTGTTTACCTCTTCTTTAAACATAATATAATTTCATGCATGCATGGCGAATATGAGGACAGCTTTCAAGAGCTTTGATAAGGAAACATTCAGAACACTGTCTACTACCAACATCAGACCAGTCTTAGCGTATGCAGCACCTCGAAACCCTCATTATCGAGCAAAAATCTGTAAATAGAACCATGATGAACTCTACATAAACACCATACACCACCTTTTGTACAGTCTTCTAAACGTGATAAACACATCACCTCTTGCAGATAATCTATATTTTGCTTGTCAAATTTCAATGTTGTAGAGAATTCATTGTATTCATCAACTCGTAACTTGTAGTTAAAAAAAAAAGTCTAATAAAGCAAAATAACCACTTGGACCATCAGGGATCGAGCGCCGACTTGCAAGAAGCGAGACCTTTGCTTTAGTATTACCGGTATAACACGAAGGGGAAACGTATGTAATGTTTCACTTTGTTGCTTCTACAGGAGGGTCAGAGGCGGCGCTCTCCGCCCCTGCTGGTGCTGGGGGCGACGACAGAGGGCTCTCCTCAGGGGAGGGCATCATCATTGGTCTAGTGGTCACCTGCCTCGCCATCATCTACGTCGTCGGCATGACCATCTACATCAAGGTCAAGAGGAGGAGGGGCAAGGAAGCCAAGATGTAAGATCGCGCGGCTTATCTCTCTCTGGTGAACTGATTCATTTAGTGTGACGCATCAAGAGCTGATGATGTTTCATGTGTGAACTTCTATTTTATCTTTATTTTTAACTTCCTGTTGATACATTTCCACACGGGCATTTGCGAAAGATGTCATAGATAATTTGCAGTTAAAGTTCTTCAATTTCTTCATTTTTATTTTCCACATTTAGATGCATTGATAACTATTCCAACAAAGTTTATATACAAATCTCTTTTAAGCTGCATTTTTAATTATTTTGATACAAACATAATAAATGACCATTAGGGTCATACCTATATTATGGCTGAGTTATAGAATTAATAGAGGCGTAACCATACCCTTATATAAGCTTGTTGGAAGCCCCGCGTGGTCTCCCAGAGATGGCGAGATAGAGTAAACAACATTAATGAGATTGTTGGAACCCATGCAGGTGTAAGTGTGGGGGAACGATACGCACTTCTCCCCTCAACAACAACAACACCAGGTTGTAGTGGTGTGGTCTCCCTTTCTAAATTCCTTGCTGCAAAGACAAAGGAACTTTCATATTTGCATCATGTTATAATAGCAGCAGTTGATACAGAAACTCTTATAATGGGTGATTTTTAACCACTAAACAATAGACTGGATTAATCTATCACAAACAGAAGAGCAATTTTTGTTTACCTCGTGTGCTAATTTTTGCCAGCCTTCAAATTAATTCGCACTTGTTAGTCCAGTATTTACCCCTGAAGTTAACCTAAATTAGTCACAATCATTAACATTAAGTATTAGCCTAAAACAGTATTAATTGGCGGGAATATCTTGGTGGTTTCGTGACATTAAAAGCACTGTAATATCGACCCTTCGTTTTACTGAGGACCATCGGCCTTGAGAGGTCACTCAGTGGGCCGGATTCGTACGCTTCTGGTCTCGCTAAACCACCTCAAAGTTGATGTTTGCTGCGTCGTGAGAACGGGCTGCTTATTCCCATACTTTCACTCTTATTACACGAGTAAATGTCGATCTTAAAATGTAAAGCCTTCATTTGTCCCAGTTTGCCTAACGTAGTCTTGCATTTACCTCGTTTTCATTATATATTTTATCCAGTCTTATACATTGCTACATCTTTACCTTTTGCTACATAGTCTTCGGGACTTCTACGATAATTTACGGAGTTACTTATTGCTGTTTTTTTCAGAGCCAAGCTCTCGCAAGAAGGTGGGCGAGCCAGGAAAACTCGCGCCAGGAGGGAGAAGGCACGTCCCTCCCCCAAGCCCTCCCTAGTGTCGTCCTCGGACGACCTGGACCACGAGGACATCGAGGACCTCTCTCAGGCGTCCAGAGCTCGTAGGGCCAACAGGGTGAGGTCATACGGAGTCAGGCTCTGTGATATATGTTATTCTCTGCATTGTGGTACGTTACGGGCTCACCATAGCCCGTGCTACATGGACATTTCGTTCTGAGTAGCTAAATCTAAAACAACAACAACATTGTGGTAGAGTTTAAGGGGTAACGTGAATGACGTGGGATCGCTGGATTGTTTTAAGCGCAGGTTAGACATATATATATATATATATATATATATATATATATATATATATATATATATATATATATATATATATATATATATATATATGTGTGTGTGTGTGTGTGTGTGAATTAGTTTTAAGTGGATAGAAATAGACGCTTCGTATGGGTCAGTAGGCCTTCTGCAGTTTCCGTAATTCTTATGTTATTTTGATGAAGTTTTAAGGTTTATCTCCAATAAAGAAGAGCTAATTTATTAAGCACCTCTTGATGGGGTGAAATCATTTATTGATTTACCAACCTGTCTGTTTAAGTACCAGAAGAAGCTAACAAATAATAACAGTACTGCAAAGTATTTGATCTCATACCTGAAATCTTCAGTGAATCACTTTCACAAAAGTGAAAGAAGTGTAATCTTTTATATGTTATTTCAGTGTTCCTTTTATATGTTGTTTCAGTGTTCCTTTTATAGCAAGACGGTTTCCTTACAGGAGAGGAGCCACGTATGCTTCACGACGGCCGTGGTTCACTCGGCCGGAGCCAGCAGGAGCGGCAGAGTCCTGCGCTCAGCGGCACAGGACGCCGCCGAAGGAATGGAGAGAGCTCCAAGATCCCATTTGGCTGTTGTTGAGACCCTCGGTAAGGAATACAAGAGTATTGTTTCCTCTCTTCTCTTTCTCTCTGTCTCTCTGTCTCTCTCTCTGTCTCTGCCTCTCTCTCTCTCTCTCTCGTTCTCTCTCTCTCGTTCTCTCTCTCTTTCTCTCTCTCTCTCTCTCTCTCTCGTTCTCTCTCTCTCGTTCTCTCTCTCTTTCTCTCTCTCTCTCTCTCTCTCTCTCTCTCTCTCTCTCTCTCTCTCTCTCTCTCTCTCGCTCTCGCTCTCACTCTCTCTCTGGCTCGCTCGCCGTCATTATTTTTTGTATAGTGGGGGCAAGTAGAACAGTTACGTTTTCTACTTTTTCTTACAAAGTAGAAAACATTAAATATGGGAAAATGGTTGTGAGAGACCCAGGTGACATTCCTTCTCTGGCCAGCCCAGGTTTCCACAGTTCTTCCTCTATTTGCAATTGTTATCTAGGGGGTATTTTCACTGCTATACATTTACAATGTTAATTATTGAAACACTTTATGAAACTAAATTACTTTATTAATTACTCTTAAACTAAAAAACCAAACAAAAAAATCCGTATTTCAATGGATCATAAAACTCAGTTTGATTTAATTATCAAATATGTTGTTTGCAAATCCAAAGGCTCTTTATTATCATAAAAAATGAGGGTAATAACGAAATCCTCACAACATAAAACTTCCGTTTGATATAATTCTCACTTTGGCCTGTAGGCAGAGGTAACACAACTTGAAAATCAAGGAAGAAAATCCATTTGGTTTTGAGTCGAACGAAGGTCACCACGCTCGCTAATGTTGAGACGTGACTTGTTCTGGTCAACTCAGCAATCAACCCGTCCTCATCAACAAAGACCCAAAGTCCATTCTATGCACCCGCCAACCCCTTCCCCTGTTAATGAATGAAAAATGGTTTACACACGATTCACAACTGATGACGTTCGAACACTTTCGGAACAAGTTCTTCACTGACGACTTTTGTTAGAACCACACAGCCCGTCCTCCAAACAAAGATCCAAAAGTGATTCCATGCACCTGCCAAACCCCCTATTTATGAATGAAAAATGGTTTACACACGATTCAACTGATGACGTTCGAACATATCCGGAACAAGTGCTTCACTGACGAATTTTGTTCGAACCACAACGCTATAAATGCTTCACCCACGCACTACAAATACAAATAATCGCCAACAGAACCTAAACACCTAACCTAACCTTTGCCTATATATGCACAATATGCTAACATATTATAATATTAATTTACATTTGAGAACATTCCCGTTTTGAATGAACAGCATGTAAACATTTATGAATGCGTCTCTGGGGTCGACCGCTGGATGTAATGGACATGAGTCGGGGACGGGTTGCCGTGGCTTCTTGAGGTAATCTTGAGATGATTTCGGGGCTTTTTTTAGTGTCCCCGCGGCCCGGTCCTCGACCAGGCCTCCACCCCCAGGAAGCAGCCCGTGACAACTGACTTACACCCAGGTACCTAATTTACTGCTAGGTAACAGGGGCATAGGGTGAAAGAAACTCTGCCCATTGTTTCTCGCCGGCGCCTGGGATCGAACCCAGGACCACAGGATCACAAGTCCCGCGTGCTGTCCGCTCGGCCGACCGGCTCCTCAGATACACTGGCAGATACACTGCTCTTACAGCATATTATGGTTCCACTTACTTTATTTAATTTGCCACTGCTTGGTAAGTATCTTTTCCCAGCTGTGAGTTGGTAGAATCTGAGCCAGTTGTCCAGATCTTGTGTGTCTGTGTCGGCCTGACTTACCAGTGGCTCACGGATTAGATGAAAATACGCTCGAATTACGGTGATGCTGGCAAAAACAGTCAATCCTCCCGTTTAAATTGTACTTATATTAACGTTGAGGACCATAGCACATATACCGACGTACAATTAAAAAGTAGAAATCTCTCTAGTTCGTTTAGCTAAGCAAGTAAAAAATTTTGACGCTAGTTACACAATTATTAATGTTATATATACATGTACACATACTCATACATACATGTACATATATATATATATATATACATACACATACATATTTAATCACCTACACAAATACACACATCAATAATCTTTTGTATCACAAGTGATTTAACAAGAGGCTCACAACAGTCTTAGATAGTATTTTCTGTAACCTTGTGAACCATCGTACTTCTATTGACGTAATGGACAGTTTGAGAGTAGAGTTTGGTATTATATCCACTTTATAAGAGTCTGGACAAAAATATAGCTAAAAACCAAACTTAAGTATTCCTAGGCCTTGTATAGCACGTATATGTACTATATTAGGCTTCAGATAGCGTGAAATAAGCCTAGGACGGTTAAGTTAGGTTTTATTATCAACATAAATACAAGTCCTTTTCCAGTTGGGCCAACTTCAATAGTACCAAATTCTACTTTCTAATTGTTCATTTCATCAATACATGTACGATGAGCCACATCATTATAAGTACTATGTAAACTGATGGGCTAAGCCTTTATCTTAGTGCAGATCTGGAGTTGAAGCGATACAACGGATCAAGTAACATAAGGATACCTTAGCCAAAATCTTCTATCGCACCTTATTTTATACTGAGCGAGCAATGGCCCATCTTCCTGTCTTGATAACTTCAAAGTTGTTGTTGTTGTTTCAGATTTAGCTACTCAGGACGAAGTGTCCATGTAGCACGGGCTACGGTGAGCCCGTAAAAATAACTTCAACAATTACGTCTTCTTTTATAGGTGAGAATGACGAAAGCGAGAGAGGTGTGCGGGCCCTGTCAGTCTTGAGCTCTGAGGAAGGCACGGAAGGGAATTTGGGAGGAATTCAAGAAGCCCAGGCTAAGAAGAAACTCTACTTCAATCCGGCTTACTTTGAGCCAGAAATGCTGCAAGTGAGCTCTAACCTCTAATACATTAACATTTTGAGTTTGCTGTACTTATATTAAATATGATAAAATAAAAATACTCTTTTTCTCTCAATCACAGGTTCTGTCCACTCTTTCTAAATAAGATAATTTTGTTTCTCATGCTCCATATTCTTCTCTTCAGCAGTGGCTTAATTCTCTGACTTTGTCCACAGTCTCCACCGCCAGCGGCTCTAGAGTTCCTCGTGCGAATACGTGAGATGATAAACATTGCCAAAGGCAAAATGAAGACCAAGACTTACCAGCCAAGTCTCGTTGACATCCCTGAGGAAGACTCTGAAGGGCAATCACGTCCAGCGAGCAGGGCAAATGGAAGGTCAAGTACGGTGACCCTCCCAATAGATGGACTCGAGAAATGTGATAAGGAAGGCACCCACCAGAGTGATTCCAGCATCCAGAGCGACTCTCTAGAACTGCGTGACACTGACAGTCGAAGTTCCACGCTCAGAAGACTCGCCCGGCGGGTTAACAGCCATGGCGAGAGCTTCGTTAGTGAAATCATCAAAACTCTTGACCTAAAACCCAGGCTGCCAAACAGAGAAAGCACTTATGCAGCACAGTCTCAGAAAGCTCCAGCTCCCAAACCCCCACCTCCTAAGCCAATTAACGCTCGCAATGAGTCTCCAGTCGAGGCCGAAGATGACTTCCCGGAATTGATCAAACCATCAATGCTGAGGAGTGTTCTGAGGGACGGTAAGAGACTGACCGAACTCAACAACACTTTTGAGAATTTTAGACAGGAAATGATAGCAACTTTCCATAGGATGAAGAAGGTTGGCGAAGCTATATCTCCCATGTCAACTCTTAATAGAACGAGAAATAAAAACAAATCATCTCCAGGAAACACACTTGAGAAGAATAAGTCTGAGTGTAATGAAGGAAAAGTGCACAAGTGGCTGCAGACACTGGAGAGCAAAAATTCGTATACCAGAATGCCTGAAAATAAAAATGTTGTTTTTGATTCTAAGGCAGCAATGGTAGTGGATGCTGTGCCTCCGCCACTACCAGAGAAGAACACCAAGCCACCCACACCGCCTAGGAAACACCGAACACTGGCATATCGTAGTGCCTCTTTCACCGAGATTAAGGAACCTTCTTCCCTTCACTCTTTGTCTGGTAATGAAATTAGCAAAGGTAGCAGTGAAGGAAGAAATCGTTCATCATCGGGTAAGGCTCAAGTGGCCAGATCATTGTCATGGCAGAGTGAGCATCGTCACTATGACCTAAACCGAACTTCCCAGAAGATTCCTCTGGGCACAGACGACAGCCTCAATACATCTTTTGGATCTGATGATGACTCCCTTAATGATTTGCTGAGCGAGGCAGAATCAAAAGTGCCCAAGATGACACCCAGTGATTCGGATAGTGCATATTCCGATACAAAGCCTCGAAATAAAGATTTTTCAGATCTTGGGAGAGATGAAACTAATATAGATTCAAAGTCTCTGTCGAGGCAACTGCCCCGTGAAGAGGAAATAACAGCTAGGAATGAGGTGTTTAATAAGAAAACTGGTACGAAAACTATGTCACGCCTGCTAAAAACGAGTGAGAGTCTATACGCGAGGGTGAGAGAAGAAAATAATACAGATGAATATTGCCATGAGCACACGTACGAGGAAATACGCTTCCCTGCTGGAGGAAAACACAGACAAAAGCGGAAAGCCCCACAGAAACCAAGTATCGGCAAAACCAACTTGAATGAAACACGGGGTGCAGAGGAGAAAAAGAAGGGTGAAGTTGAAGAAAGTTCATGCAATATATACAGCAACCCCGATTCCCTCGTCAGTGAAGTCACGATTGACAAGAGCACCAGTCCCGTCTACTCCGGCTGCAAGGTCACCATACCTGTGGTTGGCAATATGGATCTCGACACACTTGAAGCTCCGTCAGGGTTCGATCAAGACACTCTGGAGAAACGTGGCAAGAAAGTTGAACGCAATGGTAGTATTATACAGGACTCTTTAGAGAGACCGAAGGTTAAGAAACGCAACAGTAATAAGAATGAAGAGAACAATGATGATTCTTCAGCACAAAGAAAAAAGTCTCACCCCAGTGAAATATTAATAAATAATGATAAAAGTCTTCTTGACATTTATGAGTCGAGAAGCAGTAGTCGCAGCTTAAGAAGCTTGAGGAATGACTCCCCTGAGCTCTCGTGCACTCCCCTTACGTTGTCCAACCCTTCATCACCGACCAAAATGGGTTCATTCTATCTCAATAATATCAACAATAGCAGGAATAGCACCAATAACAACATTATTTGTAGCAACAATGATGCTCAGAAAAAGTACCGAACCTTTAAAGATTATCAAGAAATGCGCTTCCAGCGAGGCTCAACTGATTCTGATATTAGCAGCAGTCCTCTTCCAGTCACAGGCACCAGTATTAACTTCAACTTCCGGAGTTCAAGTCCTTTAAACAAGGAACAAAGAGACATTAGACCTCCTCTGCCTCCAAAGCAGTTACGTTCGCCTGAGATCATCAACAACCCCTCCCCAGACTTGCCTCCTAGGAACCATGATATCCCTCCACCACTACCTTTGAAAACAATCAGAAAATCGGATGTGTCAGATTTGGACACCGATCGACCAAAACTACCAGAAAAATCGCGTAAGAAGCCTACCAAAGATATGCCTATCTCACGGCCCTCCAGCGGGAGTTCGATTCCAGAACTTACTGAAGAAGAAGCTCGATCCATCCTTCACGGACTTCTTGCTCATACAGTTTCAGACCCCCAAAGGCTATCGCCTCTACATGAAGAAGACGATGCTGAAGGTAATTTTTTAGGGGTAGGGAACACTGTCGCCGACTCTGAATCTCGGGCCAGTGTTCCCTGCCTCGATACCTTTTCCTTGGGTTCCTTAGAAACACCGATTTCTTCCTTATCCCCTTCACCTCACTATGACAGGAAGGAAGAAATTAACAGATGCCGAGGTGAAAGAGTAGAGACCAGTTTAGGCCGTCAAATTGTGAACGGTGAGGGTAGTTTGAATGACCCAGGGTCTCCTGGAAGCGAGGCAAGGGTAAGTGGAGAGTTTATTCTTTCCACAATTGGTCGCACACACTCACTACTTCGACAATCGTCTCTCAGCAGAGAGCAAACTTGTGGGTTCTTAGCCAAGCTAAAGAACATTTCTGATGAAGACATTGACAGTGTGGCTATATCTAAAGGAATGGGGATTGCTTTGGCTCTGAAAGCTAAGTCCGATCTAGAAAAGCATTTTAAAGAGAAAAGTGGGGCTGATAGCATTAAGCGAACTTGGAGGAAAATAATAGAAAAAGTTGATGATTCCAAACAAGGAAAGGATAAGATTTCTGTGATACAACTTCAACAGTACATGGCAAACCTGGACCAGAAGGAAAGAGAAACAAAGCTCAAACAAGAAGATTCAGGATATCACAGTACAGATTCCAGCGAGTCAGCCAACAGTTGCTCCAGTCAGACTTCCATGTCGTCAACGGCTATCTCCTCCACATCCACATTTGCCCCTCCACCAACACCAGGGCTTGCTGGAAAGCGTCAAGCACGACCCGTTTTATATAACAATACTGTGAACGGATCACACCACCTGCAGCGTTCTACATCCATGTATCAGTTGGGTTCACTTGCCTCGAAAGAACAGACTTCGAGCTACTGGTACGGAGGTTTTCAGCGTGCGAGTCTCAGGGCTTCATTGAGCCGTCGATTTAGTCAACAAGATGCATCAGGAGGCCTCTCTGTTTACATCAACAATTGCTTTACACCTGACGATGATGCCCATCTTAGTTTCCCTCTGTAATACCTCACTAAATACTAACTGAAATCGAGTTTCATGTATGTGTTAATGACAGCCCATCCTCCTGTTTAGTTAGTACTTATAGTAACAATAAGGATCATAGTACATATACGACGTAATGGACAATTAGACAGTAGAAATCGTTACTATTGAATTTGGACAAACCAGAAAAGGTTTTGTATTTATGTTGTAAAGACAACCTAAACTAACCTAACCTTCCTAGGCCCAATACACGCTATTTGAGGCCTAATATAGTACATATATGGCTATACTAGGCGTAGGAATAATTTTTGTTTTTAGCTTGATTTTAATCGGACTCTTATAGAGTGAATAGTACCAAATTCTATTGTCTAATTGGCATTGACGTTAATGCTTGTACTATGGTGCATATAGCTACACAAAGTACTATCTAAACAAGAGGATGGAGTTGTCAATAATTATATATTGACTTCGTGAAAGTCATATAGACCGTTTTAGTCCCCTTCCCCATCAAATTAACTACAGTAATATGCATGTTAGATCTTCGATAATCAAACGTTTAACATGTTAAGCTCTTTAACTTTATTAAGTTCATACTCTTTTTTTTTTTTTTAGTATTCCTTGAAAGAGAAGAAACTATTCATTTTAATCACCAAACATTTTTAAAAGGCATACAAGACTAAATAACAGGTGTTTATGACTGTAACAGGCGTCCAAGATTATGTAACAGGCGTCTATGACTATGTAACAGGTATCGGAGACTATGTAACAGGTGTCCAGGACTATGTAACATTCTCAAGTCACAATCGACTTCAGAATGGTCCAGAACGAACCGAAACGTCGTCGTCCCTTCACTTTCTAGTGTGTGGTTTGGTCAACCTATGTAACAGGTATCGAAGACTATGTAACAGATATCTAAGATAATGTAACAGGTATCCAAGGAGCACCCAAGTTAACCTACACTTCTGACGACTTCCTTGAGATGCAAGAACAGTTCTATATTTGATCAAGTTGAATTAAATCATCATAAATTAAGTTATATGAATTTGTTTATAACAATGATGGACGTTGGACACTGATATGAATTCTTATAATTTTTTGAACTTAAACATTTTGAAATTTAACTGTGTTATACCATTGAATGAATATTTTTCCTTTTGGACTTGATTACAATTTATTTCTGGTGAAGGAGACTTAATTGCATGAAGATCTGTTTTCGTGTCGAGTTTTTCTGCTCAAGACAACGCGTCTGAAGACAATATTTCTTGAGGAGGATAATTGCTCATCATCCGGCTAGTGCCGCACAAGGTGTCACCCAGCCAGTGCCACGCGAGGTGTCATCCAGATAATATCACACGTTTGGGGCATTTTGAGCATTAGAATGGCTTTGAAGGAGAAATTTTGACCATTAGAATGGTTTTGAAGGAGACATCTTGAGCATTAGAATGGTTTTGTAGGAAGCATCTTGAGCATAAGTATGACTATGAAGGAGGCATCTTGAGCACTGAGATGTCTCTGAAGGAAGGAAGCATCTTGAGAATTATAATGGCTTTGAAGGAGGCATCTTGAACAATGGACAGCACTGAGGGAAGCATCTTGGCTTTGAAGGAGGCATCTTGAACAATGGATAGCATTGAAGGAAGCATCTTGGGCATTGGGATGACTTTGAAGGAAGCATCTTGCAGTATTCACACACCAGTTATAAACAATTAGTATGGTGATGACCGTGAGAAGCCACTAGTGACACAAGAACGAGGGGGTCTGGGAACGAAAGCGCTCTTCAGAGAGAGATATGGGTCTTGATCTCATGGGTCCTCACCTCATGGGTCCTGATCTCATGGGTCCTCACCTCATGGGTCCTGATCTCATGGGTCCTCACCTCATGGGTCCTGATCTCATGGGTCCTCACCTCATGGGTCCTGATCTCATGGGTCCTCACCTCATATTTGTAATCTGACAGATTTTCACGGCATTATCCTCTTTGTTGACCATCTAGGAGAAAAAAAATATATTTAAATAGTTTAAGGAAACATTTGTTTATGTATGTATGTATGTGAATAACTTACTTGTATATAATGTAGTTATTGATACAAGAATAAATAAATTTTATTAACTATATTTTATGATTTATTTTATTATATGACGATAAATCTCTTGGTATAAAAGGTTCCAGTGATAAAGACAGTTTAAACAAGAACAGATTACATATATAATGATAAGATTTATGCATAATGCAAATCACAATGAAGTGATGTATCAAAGAAAAATATGGAGGCAATGCAATATGGGATCGAATTCGCCTTTATCAACTTCCCAAAGCCAATGGAATGGGATGAAAATAATTTGCTTGTCCATTTTAAAGAATGAATAACAATTTTTATTTATATTACTTCTAAGCTGCATCACTTATGAACCCATCCCTGCCCTTGTGTGGCAGTGCACAATAGAAAGTTGTTTCCACATATCCATACATTAAAACATTGATTATAACCATGATATATATGTACTTCCGCCTACAGTTTAGACCTATTGTCTTATGTATGATCCTCTGTCCTGCGTGAGAGTGAATACCAGAATTATCCTGACTTTAATAAGACTTAATCGAAATCCTCAGATTAGGCAAAATTGTAATTAATTTTGTCAATAAAGATGTTAATAATAATAATACGGATCGAGTCCAGAGACGATTTTCGATATTATTATTTCGATAGAGACGAGAATTATAGTGTGGTTCAGTTTGGACGCAGATATGAAGGGTTATGTAATTGAACTTGTTACTAGGGCGCATTCACGTCAAAAAAAAAATATTGAGAGCAGAGCTGCACAGGCGTTCGATCGTTTGCTGTTAGCGAGAAAACAGTGACTTGGAGACTTGATTACTTGAGATTGCTGTAAAATAGCAATGTGTAGTTTCTTAAGTCAAACATTGTCCAATAAAAGTATTAACCGAGAACAGAGAAGGGGGCGGACAGTGTGAATTCATTAGTGAGAGTTGATAATTGGCAGAAGGCATGGCCAGGGAGGAACCGAACACCATGTTTACTGAATCAGCTGACGAGCCCAGCGTCATCATGGTTAACTTCTGTGCCTGTACCCAGACAGTCAGGCCCAGGCTTCCGTTCCATTAAGTGCCTTATAAGTTAACGCTGTGTGACGATACGTGAGTGAAAACAAAGTGTTAAGTGAAGGTTACACGAGAGAAACCAAATTGAGTAAAACGTTCTTAGATGCTGGCAGGCGTTTGAAATGGATCAAAACGTTCTCGCAGGAAACTGAACCTCAAGACACGTCGGAATCACTTTTCATTGCCTGATAAGCAGGTTAGAAGGTAAGAGAGAGAGTCAATCTAATGGGTACAAATACAATGACAAGTTAGAAGCGCAGGGGAGGGCGAATTTAAATAAATAAGCCTTCACCAGATATACAGCCGCTGCCAATTGAGTACTGCAAGGAACCTGTACACCAGTTGATAGGAACCTGTACACCAGTTGATAGGAACCTGTACACCAGTTGATTGACAGTTGAGAGGCGGGACCAAAGAGCCAGAGCTCAATCCCCGCAAGCACAAATAGGTGAGTACAAATAAGTAAATACTGCAATATGGGAATGAGAGAAAATGGTGAGCTAGGAATGGAGGACGAAATTAGATACAAAATAATTAGAAACGGGAAAATACAAGAGCTTGGGAAATGTATGAAACGAGGAACGTGGAAATGATAATTTAGCGGTATTCATTTTAGTTATTTATTATGCACCCCATACCCATCCCGTGAGCGGTGGTGGGAAGTGTTAGAGGAAACAGTTGAAATTTAAATAAGTTTATTGAGGTAAAATACACACAAAGGGATGAGGTAGCTCAAGCTATTCTCACCCCATTCAGTACAACGTGTTCAAACATACATAGACACACATCACAAACAATAAACATATTACCGAACATTCTGAGAGACAAATATATACATTCCTCCTTTACACAAGTAGTATGGTATCAGACGTACACACAAATACTTTTGTGACTTAGGTATACTGTATAGTTAGTCAGCTTGTGGGGTTACATCCTGGGGAGAGTCAGTAATTTGCCCCTTGGCGTGGGGGGGGGGGGGAGAGGGGGACTTCGATTTAAGCCTAACGTAAAAGGGTTTCGGCCTCACACAGGCGAGGAGTCCAAGGTTCGAGTCTCAAAGAGCCCAGGTAAATGGTAAACCTAACGTGTATGAATACATTCTGGCTACCTGCCCCTTCCCCCCCGACACCATGAATTATTCATAATTCAAATAATTAAAGAAACCAAGTCAGTATAATAATAAGAATGAAACATTAATGTATAAATATTTAGGACCAAATGGAGGTTATTATTACAGACCACTTCTGTAACAAGGTCGCATGGAACACACATACAAGGGACAACAAGTTCAAGCCACAGTGTAGGACAGAAAGGCAGATGTCTCCCCCCCCCCCACACACACACACACACAGGGTTATAAACCCGTGGAATAGCCTATGTGCCCCAGGTGTAAATGACAAGACATTACTTCATGGGGGGTAGAAATAGCCTAAGCTACTCTATCCCTTTGAGATGTATTTCTTTCTTATCTCAATAAACATACTTGAACTTGACATTACTTCAGCTTAAAATTCAGCAGGATAAAATCCTCTTAAACAGAGTGGGATGGAGGGGTAACTTTTGACGACCCGCTGACTGCGTGTCCCCGTCCAGGCCACTATTCAGGTCTTAAGGTAAATAACCGTAAATTATTTTTTTGTATTTAAATTTAGCAGCCTGAAAACTTTGGGGGGGGGGAGAAGAGTAGGGATAATAAGAGGAACTATTAAGCAGTGGCTGGATGACTAACTGCACGGTCATAGCTACGTCTTTTTCTAGTGGGGACCGTGACAAGGTAGGCCTATACCCAGAGTATGTGGGTCCTGATGTTAACCTTCAGTATTTAACACTCCGGAAACAAGATTCAACTGAATTCTGAAAAATTCATCTGAAAAGATAAATCTTGTGACCAAAATCTCCTTGATTTATCACTAATATAAACATCGTATTGTCATATATTACTATTATATACAATTTATCCCAATTAATGGTTTTTGTCGATGTAAATGGCAGTTATTGTAACATTAAAATTGCTCACCCTAAATATTTTTCGTTTTCTTTGGTGATCAGTCGTGTACCATTTTCTTTGAATAATTTGATGGGGTAACTAACTTTAAATGAAGTATATTCATTATTATTATTATTATTAATGCAGATAAATTAGGCTAATAAATGAGCACTAGCTCAACCAGAACAATGGGCGGACATCTGGCCTGTGACAAAGGGTATCCGAAAAACGTGTTGCGATATTAGTCCTTAGTGTTTAGATTGTGTTGGATGGCAGTCCCTTTCAACCGCCTATGTGGCAGTCTCCGTGGTGTAGTGGTAAGACACTCGCCTGGCGTTCCGCGAGCGCTATGTCATGGGTTCGTATCCTGGCCGGGGAGGATTTACTGGGCGCAATTCCTTAACTGTAGCCTCTGTTTAACGCAACAGTAAAATGTGTACTTGGATGAAAAAACGATTCTTCGCGGCTGGGGATCGTATTCCAGGGACCATAGGATTAAGGACTTGCCCGAAACGCTACGCGTACTAGTGGCTGTACAAGAATGTAACAACTCTTGTATATATCTCAAAAAAAAAAAAAAAAAAAAAAAAAAAAAAAAAAAAAAAAAAAAAAAAAAAAAACCGCCTAGATTGCGAGCTACGACATTTGGCCCAGATGTCGCCTGGAGTCAGAGTGAAGTTGATAGATTTTTGTACGTATGTCAGGTGTAGGTGGGGAGAGTGAATTCGATACCGGGGGTCAGCGGCCCTAGGCGACTCCTGGTGTGCTCTAGTAGAGTTGATTATGGAAGACTGATGTGCCAGGTAAGTCCACTACGGGCTCACCATAGCCCGTGCTACTTGGAACTTGTTCCAAGTAGCTGAATCTATAACAACAACAATCAGACATTTGTTTGGACTCTCCAAGCGTTTAGAGGACGATCGAAGTTTATATCATCCGGGGTCAATCGTTGTCGATAATCTTCATGTTTGGTTTCTGAATGCATGATAGAGCTGATGAGTTAGCCAAAGAATCTGCTTTTTAAAGGAGAAATTGAGTATAACCTTGGCTTGTTAATAAAGTCTGAGAGCAATAGTACACCTAGAACTTCAATAGATTCTTGAAGATCTGAGGCATAGTAAAATCGACACCAGTAATTCCAGATTGATTGATTGATAAAGATTAAGCCACCCAAAAGGGGGCACGGGCATGAATAGCCCGTAAAGTAATTCCAGCTATCATCATATTATCATGCAAGAGGAGTCACACACCTATGGATCATCCAATAAAATCAGCAGACTTCTAGATGTTACTACCGCTCGGCTTAGACTCGGTTACAAGTATCTTTGAGAATTTTCATTACCTGCTGATGTAGACTTGACCAAATGTAAACTGTCAACAAAATTATTCCCACACCCTCCGTCACTATGTGATAAGAGTCCGAAAAGATACGTGAATTCAGAGACAATTCTATAACAAATGTTCAAGAGACGTGTAAATATTTGATTCAAAATGATCTGCTGTTAGAAATCTTGGCCAAATGACCCCAGTTTGCAGGCGATGAGTCACAATAGCGCGACTCGTCAATCGCTACAATCACACACTAGACAATCGACTTGAGAATGGTCCAGGACGGGCCGAAACGTCGTCGTCCCTTCACCTTCTAGTATGTGGTCTGGTCAACAACCCCATTTTACTAACTGTAGGTAGTAAAAAAAGTGATTGTAACCTATCCACCGCTGTCCACTGGATGGGAGGCGGTATGCAGGATAAACATATGTTCATATGCAGTGTTCCCCGAGTACACACACACACACAATGTTCACTTGCTCTCAGAGTATAACACTTTTGTGTTATACTCGTTTATAACGAGTATAACACAAATATGTTTTGTTATAACGTTTATAACAGGTAATGGATTTTTACGTTGGATTTGTTCACTTGCACTTAAAATTTCAATGACCTGCTATTGAGACTTAACAATAAGAAAAGGTAATCATAATAGCTATTTCACTTGTACTATTCATTGCAATGACTAAGAAACTCTGCTTTGGGATCCTCTGCTCTAACAACACAATCTCCAAGGGCAAGAGTACATTTATTATCTCCTCATATATCACTCTCATAAACCCAATGTTCCTTCTTGAATATATATAAATAAATAAATATTTAATGCAGGTCTCTGCTGGCCGCCAACAGTCGACAGCTGTGCCCACTAAACTATCTAATCTCTATTGTACAGGGCCAAGTCTCTTGACAACACCTGCCAGGAGATGTCAAGCTCTTATTCGTCTCAGTGTTGGTCCGTCCAGTCGCGACAATCTTCCGCCTGTCCCCTGTCAGGTATGTTTTATATTTGTGTATCTCTAAATTTTTATTTGCAGTTTATTTGTAGAGACTTGGAAGCGAAATCACTCAAATTGGCAGCACAATGATTCTCACAGTCGATGAAGTAAACTCAGTTGCTGTGTGTGTTGGGTTCTTTGGGCTCCTTGGTTGTACTTTTTAATGTATCTGGGTACTAAGAGACTCGAACTCCTCCTCATATTTCAACCTCCATCCCGGGAGACGGTCGCTCTATTAACTACGCTATTGAGCTAGCCACTAGCTGCACTTGTTTACTTCTCGCTGGGTGTAAACTGAAAGTTTACTTTATCCCTGGACGGTATTCAGGATTTGCAGGCTGGCCCGGGTGGTGTGAGGGTCAATATTGATGGTCAGTTAAGGGCCAGGGGGTCACTTAGAGGGTGAAAAGGGGAGCTGATAGAGATGGAGAGTGGGAGGGAATTTTCAAAGGAAAGTGCCAAGCCATTACGACTATATAGCACTGGGAAGGGGTCAAGATAAGGATTTGGGATGGGACGGGGAGATAAGAATGGTGCCCAACCACTTGGACGGTCGGGGATTGAACGCCGACCTGCATGAAGACAGACCATCGCTCTACCTTCCAGCCCAAGTGGTTAGTGAGAGGGGGGGTTACTATGAAAGCGATGAGTCACAATAACGTGGCTGAAGCATGTTGACCAGACCACACAATAGAAGGTGAAGGGACGACGACGTTTCGGTCCGTCCTGGACCATTCTCAAGTCAATTCATCGAACTGAGAATTGGTTCGAACTGAGAATTTCGGTCCGTCCAGGACGGACCGAAACTTCGGGGTTACTATGAGCTAATAGGGAGAGAAAGGGTGCTAGGAAGGGTTTCTATTCACAGGCCTCTCGCTGAGAACTGTCTCTCTACCAACCTGGTCTTGGTTTCTGACCTCGTCTGCTCGCCCGTAGAGAACCCCAAAGAAGTCTTCATTGTCGTGGTCAGCCTTACCGCCGCCGCTGCTGCTGCTGGCATCCTTGCCTGAGAATGTCAGATGAATGTCCACCATAGACACCATAATGTTCCGTTTTCTGTTGGTGGGTCCGCTGGTAGGTTAGGATAAGGCACTTTAGTACGACAGTTTCTTGACGTTGGGGACGTTGGCGAGATCGGGCTGGTGTGTGGCGGGGTTTATATTCTATAACAAAGTGGTTCTGTCGGGTATAAGTAATAAGTGGAAAGTAATTATCGTTATCCTTCATCCAATCAACAGTCATCTTTTGACTACTTAATTCTCCCATGTCGAACTAAAAAAAAAAGTATAGATCATGTAGAAACAAATTAAATAAATTGTTCCCGAGTTGAAGTAGACAATCGCTACCTGCTGAGTATATACCCGGCAAACACACACCGAAACTACGACGTTGGTACAACGTTCGAACAAGTTTTTAACACCTCCTAACCAGTTATAACAACCAATATAGCAAGTTGTAACAACGTTCTAATACGTCATAAACACGTTAAGCCAAGATGTAACAACTTTATTACAAGTTGTAACAAGCGGAAAATAGAGACAGTTTCGGGTTGTGTTTCCAGGGATATAGGCCGACCACACGGGCGGTGCTCCAAGCTAGGCTATATAGTTGTTGTTATAGATATAGCTACTGGGAACAAAAAGTTCCAAGTAGCACGGGCTATGGTGAGCCCGTAGCTCGGCTAAATAGTATTTACCACTTAGTATAACGCTCTCTGTCCCCGAATTCACCGGCTACCTCAACCACTCACAGGCAGTAGTGGCTATTCTTTTTTTTTTAACCCCCGTGAGAGTACGGCCAACTGGGGACCGGCTTTCCTTGTCAAGACGCCAACAGGTGAAATATTTCCCATGTCTTAGCAGCTGACATATAATGCTATGGAATTATTTTTCTAGTTTTCCCAATGTTGGGAATTGAAACTCCGTTAGGCTTCTAGAGATGGCCCCCCCTCCCCTCCCTTTTCCTTGTCAAGTACTCGCCAAATTGTGCTTGCGGGGGTTGAGCTCTGGCTCTTTGGTCCCGGGTTTTCATGCCGGGGGGACTATGGTACTAATGTATTATGTATTGTAGTGTATACTTTAAGCCAGTTCTGAACCACATATGAATGTGTTGAACTGAATGTCTCCCGTTATCGTTTACATGTAGTTTTGACTGATGGCAACACTCCCTACAGGTGAGAACGTGGTTATAGGGGTCCACTATTTTTTTTGTCTTGTAGTGACGTGGTGAGACGATGCTGTGGACGATGGACAAGACGGTGGTGGTGCTGCGGTGGGGGATGGTCAGTGCTGCGGCGTCTGCTGTCCTTAACGCTGTCGCCGGCTGCTGTTGCTGCTGGGGGCTCTTCCTCTCCCTGTGGGCGCTATCCTCGACCGCCTATGCCATCTCCGCCGCCCTCCAGGTAAATGGGAGTGTTCAATCCCCGACCGTCCAGGTGTTTGGGCACCATTCCTTCCCCCCCCCCCACCCCTGTCCGATCCCAAATCCTTATCCTGATACGTTCAGGGGTACAAGGGCCGACTATAGGACCTGGGGTATAAGGCCAAAGAAAAAAGCTGGGACATGAAGCCAGGTTTCGAGCCGAGAAACAGAGCTCGAAATAAACGAACAGTGTAACCAACCATTTGGACCATTGAGAGAGATTAATATTCTTTATTGACCATTTCAGGTCCCTACGGAAGGTCGGGCCGTTCTAGTGACGGGTTGTGACTCTGGCTTCGGCTTGGCTCTGGCTCTCCACCTTCACAAGTTGGTGAGATAGTCTTTTTGCAGAACGCTTGCACGTTACACGCAAATGCATGAATGGTTTGTTGTTTTATCCGTTTTATTTTCAGGTTAGAACTTGTAGTAATGATGCAGTGTGTGGGGAATACGTCAGTCATTTGGATACAGGTCATTTTGTACGCAGGATGGCTCGAAGCTGACTGTTTGTATTGCCAGTACTGACCTACCCAGCTTAATATGATCTAATATAACCTAAAGTATCTTAACCTAACTTAACTATGCTAGCATAAAAACTCTACTCAACCCAACACACCCCTAACCTAACCCAGCCCCCCATTCTAATTAAACTCGACAACCTAACTTAATCTAACACATAATCCATCGTACCCTAGCGCGTATGAGACTAGCCTAGCATAAAGTAATCCAGCCTTATCTACCATAAAGCAATATATATCCTATTCTGACGCTCTATAGGCGTTTCATCAATTAAAAAAAAAAACACCGTCTGTCACATGAACCAAACTCCAGCGTTCTACGTAGCCGTTCGTGTAACTTCGAGTACCGTTCTCGGATGGTTTTCAGGGCTTGCGGGTGTTCGCGGGCTGTCTGCAGGATGACGGCGAAGGCGCGAAGGAGCTCCGGAAGGAGAGGTCGGAGCGTCTTCACGTCCTGCAGCTGGACGTGACCTCGGAGAAGCAGGTCAGCCGTGCCGTGAAGGAGGTCAAGAAGCTCCTGCCTGAAGGAGGTAATAATAGATTATGGATTTTTTTTGTTTTTTTTGTTTTACGTTAGATTAATAACCTAAGATTCAAAAAATTATAATCATTTTAACGAATAAGAGGACAATGACTGTCTAATCTTTCCTAGGCCAATTTTTGTACTAATTTAGGCTTAATGTTGCATATATTAGGCCTAAAGATTGTTTACTTCAGGCCTTGGGGCACGGTAAGTTGATGATTAGGCTTCTGCAATTTATTGTTACGGCAAGTAGCAGTGATTCTCAACCGGGGGCTCTATGCAACACCGGGGGCTCTATGCAACACAGGGGACTCTATGCAACACCGGGGGCTCTATGCAACACAGGGGACTCTATGCAACACCGGGGGCTCTATGCAACACCGGGGGCTCTATGCAACACAGGGGACTCTATGCAACACCGGGGGCTCTATGCAACACAGGGGGCTCTATGCAACACAGGGGACTCTATGCAACACCGGGGGCTCTATGCAACACAGGGGGCTCTATGCAACACAGGGGACTCTATGCAACACCGGGGGCTCTATGCAACACAGGGGGCTCTATGCAAACCATTTGTGTAATGGTTCTGAGCAAAGAACCAATGGTTCTCGGTTCAGACCTTTAGCCACACGGCGGTCCAGACTCGACGGTCCAGTCGTGAACCCACGCGACGGTCCACTTCTGTACCCAAAAGCAGAAACGTCCCTCTGGACGAGGCCAGGGCGGGGGGGGGGCAGTGATGGGCCGGGTAACTGGCTGGTTTGCGGAGTGTCGACACAAAAAGCAGCTTCGTTGGCGATCCCATCATGGCGACAATGAAACAATATTCCATTTATTTTCTGAGAAAGTTTAAATTGTGGTAGTGTCATAGGTGAGGTGTTCCTGGGTAGATACGTGTCGTAATGTGAGGTGCTCCTTGGTAGATGCGGGTTCCTGGCCTCGGAAGAATCTGAACAATTGGGGAAATAATAACGACTTTGTGATATCACTGAAGATCTCGCTTGAAAACTGACTGTTACCCACAACGAGGCAAGCAAACAATTTCACATAACTATTATACTTGACCCCTCGTACTAAAGCAATGTGATGCTTGAATCAAATAGGAGAAAGCTGCCTGAACAGTTAGCGGAGTTTCTTATACAAGATTGTTGCAGATTCAAGAAAACTGGCTGGCTGCTGCTCCATTAAATTACTAGTTTTCCTCACAAAAAGATGAATTTCATTTTTTTTTATTGTAACTATCAATGCTAACTAAATTGCTGGTGATTACACTGCTGCTCGTGAAATCGGGCACTACCCCCCCCCCCCCCACCCAACAAAGTATGGGAATTAGAGGAGAATAATTCCTTGGATTTCTGGGAGATTTATTAGAACATTTGTCCACAATTATCCAAGCTAGCCAGGACTTGGGGTCATTATCCAAGCCGCCTCACCCTGAGAGCTCTCAGCAGAGAGCTTTTGAGCATTGAAGGAAGAGTATGCCAGCCAAATCGTTGGCGTCTAATTGTTGACAACTCTGAAACAAATTGGTTTCACACATTTGAAACCTAAACAATTAGTTTATGGAGCCTAGGTAATGAGATTATTCTTCTGATTTATGGAAATGATTGTTACATGCAGGTGAGGAGTCACAATAACGTGGCTGAAAAATGTTGACCAGACCACACACTAGAAAGTGAAGGGACGATGACGTTTAGATCCGTACTGGACCATTCTCAAGTCGATTGTGTTGAGAGAAATTGTTTGTTGTTTTAGATTCAGCTTCTCGGAACTAAAAGTTCCAAGTAGCACGGGCTATAGTGAGCCCGTTTTGGACTTATTGGCACAGGAGCGGGGCTGTAACATTTGACTTGAGAGAAGAGGTGAAGACAATAAATTAGCAAGAGAGGTGAGAAGGAAATCTTAGAGGAAGAAAAAGCAAGGCATCAGGAACGGAAGGTAAGGTGTAAAAAAAAAAGTGGGTAATAATAGGAATAAGAAAAGGGTCGTAAGAGAAAACAAGAGAAAGAAAATTAAAGAAAGATAAAAGAAAGGGTAGGCTTATGTTGGGTGCCTTGGTTTGGTGCCTTCTTTTGATAATTACTTATGTTGGGTCACGTTTGTTAAAAGGTTTAGAACATTTGAGAATATACTGTGAAAGGGAAGAGCCAACAGCAACAAAGCCAGGACTCAGGTTCTGGCTTTGTAATAATACATGGAAGATGCTGGAAGGCCGGGTTCTGGGTATATATACAGCAAAATAACATGCTGGAGCAGAAGAGATGGGAGGAAATGCAGAATAGACCCAATGAAGAGTAGAGGTCCGTTCAGTGCTCTGTGTGTTTGGTACATCAGAGGTCCACGGCTCTTTAGCCTTCAAACACACATAAGAAATGTTGCCGGAACTAGATTGGACATATTAAAGAAACAACTGGATGAGTTCCGGGTTGTAATATATATATATGTAGGCCTGCTAGCCGCTGCAAGCAACAGCCTTCTAGACCAAGTTACCACAATACAAGCCTGACCTCAGACCGGGCTTGGGAGTAAACGAACTCTCAGAACCCAGTCCAGGTATTCTCCGGGTGTAATGACCAAAATACGAGGTATAAAGCGAGACTTCGTTATATGAGACGAGGTGTAGCGAAACTCGACATAATGGTCACAATAGTGAGGAATTAGCAAGACTTCGTTATATCATGTCAGGCGTAACGAGACCTCCCAGCTAATGACCAAACAAAGTTTTTTTTTTTTTTTGGTTATATTTCCTCCAGGAAATTGTAATGACCCAGTCTCCCCCCTTAATCAACGAGCTGAATAAAATGAGAGAAAAACGAGTTTGACATTTTTTCCATTCAATGTTTTGTGTTGGCCGACATACTGTGAAGGTGTAGACATGGTTGCCAGGCCACACACCTTGTATCACTAACGCTGGTGACCTGTACAGTTACCAACTGCAAATGTGTGTGTGTGTGTATATATATATATATATATATATATATATATATATATATAATATATATATATATATATATATATATATATATATATATGTCGTACCTAGTAGCCAGAACGCACTTCTCGGCCTACTATGCAAGGCCCGATTTGCCTAATGAGCCAAGTTTTCCTGAATTAATATATTTTCTCTAATTTTTTTCTTATGAAATGATAAAGCTACCCATTTCATTATGTTTGAGCTCAATTTCTTTTTATTGGAGTTAAAATTAACTTAGATATATGACCGAACCTAACCAACCCTACCTAACCTAACCTATCTTTATAGGTTAGGTAGCTGAAAAAGTTAGGTTAGGCTAGGTTAGGTAGGTTAGGTAGTCGAAAAATAATTATTTCATGAAAACTTGGCTTATTAGGCAAATCGGGCCAAGAATAATAGGCTGAGAAGTGCGTTCTGGCTACTAGGTACGACATATATATATATATATATATATATATATATATATATATATATATATATATATATATATATATATATATATATATATATATAATATATATATATATATAATATAATAATTTCCATGTATCTCAACCACATGTTTTTTTTCACATTTTCCTGGATTAATATATACATCTCCGTGCTGAAACTCACATAATCACAAATCTTGCGTCTCGTCAATCTTCCAAAGCATCTCTCTCATTCGTGTATTCTAGCCGTAAACTGTCAACGGCTTTCATTCTGAAATTCGACTCTAGAATTTCATTCCGAAATTCGGGGCTTCTGCATGCTGTATCGCCAAACCTTCACATTAACATCTCACGTTCCTGGTCTCTAGTGCCTACCGCGTCACTTCTCAGATCTAGATTGATTGACTGATGAAGATTAAGCCACCTAAGAGGTGGCACGGGCATGAATATCTACCACTAACGAGCTGTCAGTGGTATATATTTTTGGGAGGGAATGTATACTGTCTGCTGAGGTCGAATTTAAATCGTCAGTCCTATGTGGTTGCTATCGCGGGGGAGGATACTGCTCATCTCAGATCTAATGTTGTTATAGATTCAGCTACTCGGAAACATATAGTCAATTATATGTCAATATAGTCAAAGTACTCTAATTAGTCACGATAATATATACCAGAACCCTAAACAGCCATCACGGTACCCCCCCCCCTCCCCATCACCAAATGTGCACCACAGCTCACCACGCGTGCAATCCTCCACTACAACATCCTACATCATCAAGTGTGCACCCCAACATCCGACGATATCCCCCAACATCCGACGATATCCCCCAACATCCGACGATATCCCCCAACATCCGACGATATCCCCCAACATCCGACGATATCCCCCAACATCCGACGATATCCCCCAACATCCGACGATATCCCCCAACATCCCACGATATCCAGAACATCCCATATCGGCTAACATCGACCACAAAATCTCACGTCATAAACACATCCACCAAAACGCACAATTTTCCCAAACGATTACCTCAGCGGCTAGCAACCCCAAACCGCCCACCACGGCTGTTGTTATTTTAGATTCAGTTACTCTGAACAAAACGTTCCCAGTAGCACGGACTATGGTGAGTCCACAGTGGACTTACCTGACACAGGAGCGGGGCTGTAACTGTTGTGTGCACCACGACTGTCCTAAAATCACTATACACTGCCTTCTCTCCCTCCTCCTTCCCCTGACAGAGGTGCTGTGGGGTCTGGTAAACAACGCTGGCTGGGCCACCTACGGGGAGGTGGAGTGGGTGCCCTTGGACACCGTCAGGCGCATAGTGGACATCAACACTGTGGGCGTGCTGGCCGTCACCAAGGCTTTCCTGCCGCTGATTAGGAGAGCCAAAGGTTAGAGTGTTTTATTTCTTACCAGATTTGAGAATAAATTTCGGCATCAAATGTGCAGCGGTGTTGCCATTAAGTTAGGGTCATTAAGTGTAAAATGGTTTATATAAAGAGGTAAGTCTAGCATGTTAGACCGTGAAGCATTATTTATTTACACATGTTACTGTAAACTGCAAGGATTGCAAACTGCAAGTTTACTAAATTGCAGGGAGGGGTTGTTAAACTACACGGGAGCCTAAACTGCACAGGGGCCAGATTCACGAAGCAGTTACGCAAGCACTTACGAACCTGTATACCTTTTCTCAATCTTTGGCGGCTTTGTTAACAATAATTAAACAATTAATGAGGTCTGAAGCACCAGGAGGCTGTTTGTAACAATAACAAAAGTTGATTGCGAAGTTTTCAAGCTTGTAAACTGTTTAATAAATGTAACCAAAGCCGTCAAAGATTGGGGAAAGATGTACACGTTCGTAAGTACTTGGGTAACTGCTTCATAAATCTGGTTCCTGGACTGTAAACCCATTACATGACACTGGAACCTGCTTGCCACCGCCCACAGGATGGGTACGGAGTTCATAATGAATTTATTAAACTATTTTGTATCCACGTGAGTGGTGCTGAGGTATCCGTGTTGGTGAAGCCGGAAAGGAAACCGGAATTGGTATATGGTGAGCGTCGGTCCGTATACGGCTCCTCGGTCCCCGACACTAACGTTGAAAAGCAATGACATGTTTTCCTTTTGTCTTATTTCGGGTTGGCAATTTGCAGTGCAATCATAAATGATGTTTGAAAACCAGTTCAGGCATTGAAAGGCAACGGCAAAACGTTTTTGTGTTTTGGGGGATGTGTATAGTGTAGGGGCGCTGTGTCTTCCCACAACTACACTGTAGTGAGGAGAGAGTAGTCTTTGAGTGTTGGTTTCTTTGCCTGGGTGTAGCGTGGGTGAGCTTGAGTGAATGTATGGGTGAGTGTTTTTGACACTTCAAGTCTGTAATGGTTTTAGTTCGTTTTGAAGATTTATGAATATGCGGTTGACTATAGAGGTGTGGCAAAGTCTCTGAGGTGCAGCGGTAGAACGATCTCCATCGGGGTTCGAGCCCTGGGAAGGGAGAATAGACGGGGCACCAAATCTTAACTTCTCGCGCCCTCTTTTACAATTATTACTTAACCTATTATAGGTATAAGTTAAATAATAATTGTAATTACGAAGCAATAAGATGCTTATCTTAACATACTAAGAAGGTTAGGTAAGGTCGGTGTTTTCTATGAAGCTTTTCAAGGTAAACTAAAATATTCACAATAAATTAGTATGTCACATATGCACTTATTAAATAAGTCAATATTGACTGTAAGAAAGTGTGAGAACGGGTTGCTTGTTCACTCGGCAGTATGGGGGTTGTAAACCGATCGGCGGGTCGTGTTCCAGGGGGAAACTAGTAGGATAATAGGGACTCTAAACTTGCTAACTTAAAGTTTTTGTTAACCTTATGTCCTTGTGACTTTTGCCTCTTGAAGTTGAACTGCATACTCCAGGATTAGTCTGACATATGTGGTATACAAGGTTCTGAATGATTCATTACTCAAGTTTCTAAAGGCAGTTCTGAGGTTTACCAGCCTTGTATATTCCGCTGATGTTATCCTTTTGATGTGAGCTTCAGGAGATCTGTTAAGCTGTAGCAGATATTTAAAGAAATCATTAAAATAAATTATCCGCTCTGGGGCCCTGCCTTCACCTTAATATATTGGCTAAATGTTAATATTTTGGTTATTAATGTTTTGTCCGCCTCACTCACCAGCTACTTGGGTCGCCCACGGTGGAACTTCACTTCGCCCATGTATATATCTGTAGCAGCGAGGCCTATACTTAAGACAAAATTGTATTTTATCAATTTCATCGATCAATAATTTGCGGCTTGTTTAAAGAGGGTCGCAGTAACTCGTAGCCCTTTAGCTCAACCTGTTCCCAAAACCAGTTTTCTTAAGTACATAATTTGTATATGACTTCCAACGGAATTGCAGTCATCTTGCAAAGAGAACATCTCACCCAAGTGCAAAAAAAAAAAAAAAATATGCAATTGTTTAATCTAGCGAGACACATACGAGCCCAAGTAATCAATCTTAACATGGGTAGTTACGGGCTCACCATAGCCCGTGCTACTTGGAACTTGTTCCGAGTAGCTGAATCTATAACACATATATATCGAGACCAGTGCGTCGAAAACGTCAGTATTACGATGCTTTAAATTTTAGTCGTACATTGTTTTTTTTAACGGACTGGTCGATTGCGTAAAAAAAACAAAAAAAAATCCGTATTTGAGAGGTGGTGTTACACATGTCCATTGTGACAATTGCAGTGTTGCAGGGTGCAATTTTTATTAAAAAAAATTCCAACTAGTCACACCAGTTCTATGTAAGAACGCGAGTACTATAGTTATTAAATAAACGACTGCGGGGCTCGCCATATCCCGTGCTGCTTGGAACGTTTTGCTCCAGGTAGCGAATCTTGAACCACATGTAGTTGTTAGTGTGTATTGAATTTTCTTCTATTAAGATGTTTATCCGTTTTGAATTTTGAATTAGAACTTTAGATAAAACAATGGACATTATTCTCAGGTTAATGGTGAAAATGCCATGATTGTGATTATTTGCGAGTGTGAAGTTGTGTAATACAATTATTATTGTTTATTTTTATTGATATTTTATTTTATTATTGTTATTAATAATGCATTGGTGGAATTTTGAGGGTTTATTGTTAATATAGTTATTATTGGTTGTAACTATATTAACAATAACATCAACAATTGTTTGAACAATTGTTTGTTATTGTTTCAACAATTGTTTCAACAATTGTTTTAACAATTTTGTATATACTGCTTAAAGATCTTTAATATATTATTGTTATAAGGATGTGGAAGTTTTATTGACTATTGCGAGGCAACACAGTCGGTTGAAGACAAAGAAAAGTAGTTGTGGACATCCTTAAAACTGGTAGATTTATATAACTATAAAACAAAGTACAAATATCTCTCGTTAATCACTATAATCAAATCCTCTATAGTTATATACGATATTATACAAATTGTATTAATATCATTCTAGTTCAGCTCTTGAACTATATTGTACAATATTGACGAAACACGTGGATCTCACACCACCCCTGACTCACACCTCACAACACTGGAAGACGCAAGAGTTAGGGTAAACATGATCACTACCTATAAAATTCTCAGAGGAATTGACAGGGTAAAGATAAACTGTTTAGCACGAATGGGACGCGAACAAGGGGACACAGGTAGAAACTTGAGTACCCAAATTTGAACTTGGGTACTTGAATTTGAACACAGGGACTTTTGAAAGAACTTTTTCTAGTGTCAGAGTAGTTAACAGATGGAATGCATTAGGCAGTGATGTGGTGGAGGCTGACTCCATACACAGTTTCAAATGTAGATAAGATAGAGCCCAGTAGGCTGTACACCAGTTGATAGACGGGGCCAAAGAGCCAAAGCTCAACCCCCGCAAGAACAACTAGGTGCCTGAATACCGTGTTTGAAACTCCCATGAATACCAGAATATTTATACACTACTACGTTGAATTCAAACACAATATGTTGATTAAGCCAGTTATGCAATATGACTTCTCACTGTAAGGCTAAACATGTATATAACCCGTATCGTTAATTTCAATCCAGCCTTTACTACGAAGTTGCAACATCTTTAACGTAGGTCAGCATGAGTGGTCGTCAGTGCACACAGCGGGGAATGAATGCGCTTGAAGAGTAAGGTAGCGAGCGAGCCCAAGCGGCTCCTCGCTGGTGTGGGGTGGGGGTGCTGGTGGTGGTGTGGGGGTAGGAGCCTGGTCGGTGAGTGAATGACTAGGCAAGTATCTTTGGGTGATACTACCTCGTTATTACCTTCGAGAATTTTGTAGGTAGTGATCATGTCTCCCCTTACTCTTCTGTCTTCCAGTGTCGTGAGGTGCAGTTCACGCAGCTTTTCCTCGTAACTCGTGCAGGTTGTATGTTCCCTCATCCACGGGTCGCCTGTCACAAGACATATTTTTAACCCTGTCCATGGAGGACAGAGGAAAATATATATTAGCTAGTTAGCATTGTAAATGTGGCCACGTTGTGGTAGAAAATAATAAACAATTTTTTTTTAAATCTTATTGGTAAAAAGTGGCTGGCGGAGTCCCAAGATTTCTTCACGGTGAAGGTGAACACATTATTCGAGGCATGAGGTACTTTGAGCTTTGCAATTACTTTATTAACTCTCGTGTTCTTGAGGATATCCTCATAATACACCCAAAATTAGTCAGTGGTGACTGCTGAACATATGACCCTGCACTACTACCCATCATGCAAGATGGGTAGACTTTTAGCATCACGTAGCTATTTCTTGACACTAAGTACTCCCTCTTCATATAGTCTAGGGCAGCTGCACAAATGCACATGTACCTAAATGTGTTGATAACAAATCTGCAATCAAGGAATCAATTGATGGGAAATAGAGAGAGAGGGGGGGGGGATAAGGAAAGAGACGAGAGGGCGGGATTGGATGAGAGAGAGAGACAGACTCGGACCCTGCCGGGTAGTCGTGTAACCCCCCCCCCCCCCCCCCCAGCACTTGGACACACCTCGAACCACCTGGCTATAGACACTGGGGTGACGTCGTGACCCGATTGGATAAACAAGAGAGATAGACATGACTTGCACAACATTCACTGGTTTCCTTTATACCAGGAGCGGAAAGTTTGTCTCTCTCTCTCTCTCTCTCTCTCTCTCTCTCTCTCTCTCTCTCTCTCTCTCTCTCTCTCTCTCTCTCTCTCTCTCTCTCTCTCTCTCTCTCTCTCTCTCTCTCTCTCTCTCTCTCTCTCTCTCTCTCTCTCTCTCTCTCTCTCTCTCTCCTTCTTTGACATTCAACCTTAGCGATATTTTTTTTTATATAATTAGGCGGCGACTCTGACCTCCATCTGCCATGATGCAGCGAAGTTTGAGGCCTTTCTG